AAATATACAAGAGGCCTATGAGCAATTTGGGAGCAACGAAGAAAGAGGTGATGGCAATGAGATGCAACTGCAGAGACTGTGGAAAGGAGAAAGCGTGAAAGAGAGATCATTTTTCAGAAGCTATTAGGGAGCAAAGGGACTGGCATCGGATGATGTCTGCACCCCTGCTTCCAGGAGCTGTTCTTCCAAGGAACAAGCAGCTCTCACCTCCTGTGCACTGATGCTGATGCCGATGAGCTGGAAAAGGAGGAAGCCCTTGGGGCTGGCTTGGTCTCGGTGCTGCCTCAGGTACTCGCGCAGGCCCAAAGCAAAAGCGAGCAGAATGCGCGAGATGAACTTCTCCATGTCGTGCAGCCGGTTGTCGCGGAACTCTTGCAGGCCCGAAGCGTCACCCCGCACTGACGCGTACTCATCCCTATGCCTCTCCCTCAGTCGATTGATTGCCTGCCGCAGGATGTTCGTCCCAGGCTCCTTCTCGGTCGAGAAACTCAGGTAAAAGCTGTACTCGTGGCAGGATGCCTCGAGCACCGTGCGGGACTTCCCGCCTCCTGAAGGCCCGATGAGCGCAGTCGCGCGCGTTTGCACCTGGTCCTGGCCCTTCCCCGATGCGTGCAGCTGCTTAATCTCCGCCAGCAGCGTCTGTGCGTTTGTTAGGCCAGGCTCGTTGCGCTCGGGAAGCTTCGTGAGCAGCAGGCTTGGGGAATTCCGAAAGTACGTGACAGGAACATCTCTCCTCGCACAGGGGTTGCTAGGGGGTGGGGGCCTCAGGTCAAGCTTTGGCTGCCCGTTCTTCTCTGGGGACACAAAGGCACGCTCCAGGATTTTGGTGACTTCCTCATCGACGCTGTCATTCCAGTCGTCATCGTCGCTCCTCCCTGCAAAATCAAAGGACACAATTGTGTGGACCCTCTTTGATGTGTGGCCCAAGGGCGCACGCAGACCTGAGCTGGCAGGGGTCAAGAGAAGAGAAGACTTATCATCTCAGTGATGCCTTTAATTCCATTTTGAACCGAGCAGTCTCCCTGAAAATATTTAGAGAGGAACTTGTGGCACCCATGTTACCAGCTCAATCGCAAGGGCAACAGGCGAGAGGCAATAGACAGCACAGCCATGCTGCAAATGAGGCGAATGACTTGCTTAGCACAACTCACGTCTGTATTCTCCCCGCATTGCGTCATGCATGGTTGTGTCTCCGGACGGGCCTGCAGCTGCACCAGTCTGCCTCGTTCCAGCAGCTGCACCAGAAGGGGGAGCACATCAGGCAGAGTTCCAGAGCCTGCTCTCCATGCTGCTTTTGTCAACAGCAGCTGCACTGCCTAACATCCCTCTGCTTTGAAATTCTGGACGCCACCTAGTGCAGAATTTGGTCATGGAGCCAGGCAATTAAGCTCAAAGAGGAAATGTTCTGACAGCGGGTTTAGAGTTGCTCGAGAGAGTCAAGTCCCTGCTCTCATTACAGGTTCAGATGGATGTCTGCAATGCAAAACCTATCAGATACCTACTGAGGCTTCAAAATGCAACTGGCTCTTTAAGAAAGCCCAAATATCCTGCAAAGGGTGCTTCAAGCAGTATGAGCAGCAACAGGTCCCAAGAGCTTATCTCCACAAGGCTTAGGAGCATGCATACAATCCAATGATCCAGCTCATGTTACGAGGGCAAGTCTGCCAGGTGCAGTCTGCCTTGTGCAAATCTGCCAACCCATGAAAGAAACAGTCAACGTCCTTGAAAGCGATCAGAAAAATGGCCAATTGATGAGGGAAAGGGCATATTGATGCTCAGAAGAACAAGGTACACTTGAGACAAAGAGTGAAGCAGATGCTTCAGCAACCGCACATACCAGCCCTGCGTGTCCAAGACTGACGCCTCAGGCAAGGACACTCACCTCTCCCATAGTCAACATCTGGCATTTCCACGTCCCCTGAAGCGCCGGCGCCCTCGGTCCCTTTTCCTCGTGCAGCAGCTGGGGCAAAGAGAGGATGGGGTTCGCGGATGCATGTTCGTATGGAAAAAAGGCTGCCAGCCTTCCCCACGCTGTGCAATTTGGCAGGGTCTGCCAACCATCAAAATCTTTGAAGAGGAGCAGCAGGCAGCAGTCTAGGAACAAAATCCTCAGTGAGCGCCGCTGGTTCCTTTCTGATATGCTTAAAGAATGACAGACGAGAGTCTCAGGCAACTCAAATACCTTGGAGTGTCGGCCTTGATAATTGCCAGAGATGGCATGCTCAGCAATCTGCTAGTTTCCTGGATGTGCAGCGGCCATCCTGACAGACTGTTCCTGTCCATTTGTCGTGATTATTGTGGTTGCAATTCTTGTGGATCTCAGGCAAGCAAGCTTTCAAGCTTACCCCAGCCCAAGCAATAGAAAGATGCTGGCATAAAGTTTGCAAAATGATTTGACGGATGATGCTGAACTTCTTTTTATCCACCCTGACAAGACCTTCAGCGGGCAAACTGTTACGAGAACACCAAGACTGACCAAAAAGTCGTTTAGCAATGCCTTTTCGCAATCAGAGGCTGTGATGATCAACTTCCAGACCAAACACCCGCTCCAGGATTATGTGATCTTGTTCCTGCCTGACGGGTGAAACAACCCGAGAAGCAGAGGGACATGCGGCAAACTGGCAGCGACACACTGGAGGGGTGGCGTGGATCACCGCGTCTACCGTGAACCAGCGAGCTCCGGCACTCTGCCCAATTGCAGGCATGCACGAGTGCTGTTGCTCAGAAATGACCAGAATCAAGCCCTTAATCTGCCAAGAAAAACCATGCATAGTCAACTACATACCAGGCAGAGTTTACAGGCCAGCGCATCGTTTTCTTCCACATGCTCAAACGCTGGTTCATCACTTGAACAGACACCAATTCACCAAAGTGCTTAATCAGACCTTTGTGCAATCTGAAAAATGCAAGCTACTGGTATTGTCACTCACCCTTAGAGGCTGTAAAGACATAATTACCAGCCTGAAGATCCTCTTCGTCTAAACAAGAAATCTCCTCGCCGTTCTGCAAAATTGCTATTTCCCCTTCTCCCCAACATGCCCTGTCTCTGATGAAGTCCAAAACTGCTATGCATCTGCGTGGTGCTTTCAGAGAACGACACTCGTTGGTGCCTCTTCGAAGGATCCGAATGAGGGCCGGCTGATTCAGGTTGGACGGCAGAGCAGAGCCTTTGCCATGAACTTCTTCCTCAGCATTTGCCATTGCCTTTTATTTCCCACTATGAATACGGAAAGTGAAGCGAAGAGCCTGGTGTTTCTGAGTGGATACAAACATTCCTGAAGTGGGGGAGGGACGCCAGGAGCTCTTCAGCAGTAGCTCCGAGCCCCAATTCACGTTCACGAGCGCATTGCCAGATGGTCAATTGATTCACAGGCGGGCGCTGGGTCAAGTGGATGTGGGAGGCTGGTATGGGGGATTCATTGGTGACAGTCCTTGGGGCTCGCATTGCGTTCCCTCCATTGTCCGCTGGATGCGCGCTGGTGGACACCAGTCGATCCAGACTTGGCAAGTCTAGTACTTGTCCCCGATCGTCACTGTCAGTGTTGCCAAGGCTCTGAAGTCAGAACGTCCACCTCATCAACTAACCATCTCAAATCCGGCAAAGAACCGGCCAATGTGAGGCGCCACGTGTCCCCCCCTTCCGTTTGAGCCGGTGGCCTCAGAAACTCCCGCTAGTGGACTGCGCACTGATTGGCGCATCGCGAGACGAATTCATCGAACGGTCAAGGTTCGATGTAATTGAAGCACATCTTCGACGAAACGCACAGTTCCTTCCTTCTTTCCTGTTGGAACTCGGAGGAGCTTTTTTACAAGGCGCTCGGGCGCCATTCTTTTTCGTTCCCACCCGAACCCACCCTATAGATATTTTAACAAACGCTCTACGTTGACTCGACGACCAAACACTTCTAGCGTTCTCCCTACTACATCACAAAAATTAACTCGATATAGGTCTTATTAAGATCTGAATAGAAGTGTACAAATCCTGTACGGAAACTGGTTGGGAATAAAACCTGTGTTGAGAACCATACGGAACTATACGGACCTATACGTGTAAGAAACCTATACGAATCCTATACCGATACTACCATAGGTCCTATAGAATTCATCATATGGGAGCATTATAGGCTTTATACAGGGCCCCGCATGGGTTTTTTCCCGTTATAGACTAGTATATGGGCACGATATAGGATTCGTTTGGCATTTGTATATATGTTATAAGGTCTTAACACGACGGAGTCATATGGATACCGGTTCGATACAGTTCCTATATGCAATTTGCACAGTCCACGTATAAAAGTTGTACCGGATTGACACGGGTTATATACAACATCTGCATGGGCTTTCGACCGTTATGGAAACATGTATATGCTCTATGCAGATTCCAAGTTGGATTTGTATATAAATCGCATAGAAAATGTACAGATCTTGTATAGCTTACATTCCATTTTGTCATCCGATTTGCC